TCATCATCATCATCATCATCATCATCATCATCATCATCATCATCATCCACCACGGCTACTGGTAATAGGATGGACCCAATAAGTAATTCTTACAGGCCAAATAAGACCTTCCGGATGGACGCCAACCAGCAGTCACAAGACGTTCCTGATGGGTTCAGCTCAGTTCCTCTCTTTTTGAGCATTCCTCGGCCCTTTGAGGAACGTGATGAACTTCCACACGCTTCGCCCGCGACTGCCAGCGATTACTCCCTTGGAATCTCAGCGTTTCGGTTTCTTCGATGTCCTGAAGTTCCGGCTGCACAAACCGGTGGGCACACACCAGAATAGCGCGCCTGTTCATATGTTGCCTTTTGTGCTTTTTGCTTCAGTGGGCGTCATCAAGATTGGAAGGAAGGGGTGGCAGTAGTGTATGCACGAGACAGGTTTCGATGTACGAATGGATGTCGAACATCGAGCGGTCCCAAGCATCGAGCAGTCCCAACATCCCGGCACAGTGCAGTTCCATGTCGGCTCCTCGTGCAGTCAGCGTTTTCACGGATAACATCACCTCACCCACCCATTGGACCAACTGAGACTTCCAGGGGCCGATGGAGAAACGTCGTCAGATGTCGTCAGCGGACTCAGGAAGGCTTTGACAACACCCAACTGAACATTTATTCAGCCACCCGCATTCTGATTGGCCATGCGCATGAGCAGAAGTTCAGCTGGCTAGTAGCAGCAGCTTCCAGTGAAGCCTATGCGCAGTTCAAGCTGCAGTACCAGAGGCTTTCCAGAATATGGGGTTTTGGACGGCTGAATGGAAGGTCGAGGTGGATTATGGCATTCCTGCAAAATGGTGAGTTGGTGAGTCACTCGTTTTCCATGAACAAGTGAACACCCCTTGTCATGCATGAAGCCATCAGGATTTGGTACTATCGAAGAAGCCAGCGCCGGCTCTACTACAAAGCCACCTGGAGTGAAGCCTGACAGTGGCGGGCAACCTTTGATTTAAAGTTGAACCTTCTAAAGATTCCGCCACCATTTTGCTTGATTAAAGATGTTCAAAGGCCAAGTTCTCACCTTGGTTCCTTTCTTGGCCTTCTTCCCTTCTTTACCCAACTCAGCCCCCCACAGGACCTCCACCTCGCTCCGCTAGGCGGTCTTCCTCTCCGAGGGCCGCGATGGACACTTGGCCTGGCGCTCACGGAGCTATGTGACGCTGCCGCTGCGCACGCCGGGCGCGTGGCTGTTCGCGGCGGCGGACGGCGGGGTGCAGCTGCGGGAGCATTGGTACCTGCTCGGTGCAGCTTCTCCGGTCAAAAGGGAAGTTGGATGACTGGGCGATTGAGAAGCAAGTTGGTTGATTGGAGTCCAGCCCCTTCAGCTGGAGAGTAGGGGATGAGGCAAGATCATGCAAGAGATGTTTGGAACATAGACAAGCATTGCAGCATTGCCGTGATTTGCAGTCCGTTCCGTCAGCTCAAACGTTGTGGATGACTGGGAAAATTTTCAGCTACTGCGCCTTGTGCATTGCTGTGCAGTTGCTTAATATTTTCCGTGGGATCGCTGGAAATGATGTGCGAAAGACCATGACCGTTATTTGGATGCTCCTAGGTGATGTATGGTGATGTATGGACCATGTACCTCTTCAGGAGGATTGAGTAGGTGACAACCTATCCTAAACTACAGCGCAACAGCTTGAACAGGGATGGTTTGTTGTTCATGCAGTGCCCCGGCACCAGACACCCGACAGACGGAGATGTCACAGAGATGTCTCACTGAGGACGCACAGCTGCGATGGATGTTAATTTACTTCAAAGGTGCAGCACGGAAGGCCGGCATGGCCTACCGCGGCTGTAGCTCAGATGGATTTAGCTGCGTGGTTTTGTGTTGGTTTGCGCATGGGACCAGCATGCCATGATGTGAATGGCCGAGTCCAGGTGTTTCTCGTTTCGATTCGACTTACGGAGGTCGGAGTAGTCAACGTGCTTGCTCTTGGACGATCGAGGCTGTACGGCTTTAGTATGTTGTGTTTTGCCGATGCCCACGAGACCAAAAACGAATCACTGCCTAAGGTATGCTACTCACGCCGGATGGCAAAGTCCCGGGCCGGAGTGCCATGCCCATGATCTCTGAAGCCCTTGCCAAAGCTGAAATGCAGCCGTGACTCCGGCCGCATCCAAAAAGAGAGAGAGAGAGAGAGAGCGAGAGAGAGTTGGACACATACAGGGGACTCAAGTACGGCTTTCAGGACTGGATACTGGTATTAACGTTTACTTTTAGTCCTTGAAACAACCTAGCAACAGAGTCATGGGGTCCCCGTCTATAGATTCTAACTAAATCTCTCTCTCCCTCTCTGTATATAATATATGTGCATACTTCAGGAGGAAGACAGTTTGGTAGCAACTTCACTTGAGAATCTCATTGACATGACTTCTCTTTCCAAACGGAATTTCGGCGAAGTATATAATGTCCACATATGTCCACCCCGATTTTTTTGTTTTTTTAAACGTTGGGGTGGAAATTGCATAAATTAATCCGCCGAAATTTCACTGTGATTCTACAGTATATATATATATGGTCACGCCCGCCCAGAACCAACCTTTTAACAAAAACACTGGTATTTCCCATACAAAATGCTCATTTTCAGTCTATTTGTTTTGAAGCATTTGTTTGATCAAAAAATTCAGAAGCAAAAAAGGAAACACAACACATGTTAAAAACAAAACAATTGAATCAAAAAACTAAAAAAACAAAAATCGAGTTTTGGTTTTTGGTTTCTCAGAAAACCAAAAACCAAAAAAACCAAAAAAAACAGACCCAACAGGCCAGACCCAAAACCAAAAACCAAAAACCAAAATTTTGGTTTTGGTTTTTGTTTTTTCAGAAAACCAAAAACCAAAAAAACAAAAAAATCAGACCCAACAAGGAAAACCAAAAACCAAAATTTGGGTTTTGGTTTTTGGTTTTTCAGAAAACCAAAAACCAAAAAAACAAAAAAAACCATGCCCCTTTTGGTTTTGGTCTGGCCTGTTGGGTCTGTTTTTTTTTTTGGTTTTTGGTTTTTCAAAAAAACAAAAACCAAAATTTTGGTTTTGGTTTTTGGTTTTGGGTCTGATTTTTTTGTTTTTTTGGTTTTTGGTTTTTGGTTTGGTCCCTGGGGTCTGTATCTTTTTGTTAGTTGGCTTTTGGTTTTTTGCAGGGGGGGTGGCCACATATATAAGTTCATCTTCTTACAAAAGGACACTGCAAAAACCTTCTCTGGTACCCCATCTGCCATACAAAAGGACACTGCAAAAACCGTCTCTGGTACCCCATCTGCTTGCTCCGCTCTGTCTGTCTGAGCAAAAGTCTTCAACACCTGTCTGATCATAACCAGCTTTGACACAGTGCAGATGCAAACAGTGCAGCCAAGCCAGATTTCATTGATTTGACATTGCGCTCATGTTGCCACTTGCTCGTGTGATCATCAAACATAGTTTGCCGCCATTTTAGAAGCTCAAATCAACCGGCATCCGCTGTGGCCTTTTTGACCTTTCTCTCCCTGTCTCTGTGGAAACATGGTGTCAGTCGACCCCTCTAATGTGAGCTTGGAGGCTGCGCTACAGGCAACTAGTGCGATGTCCTTGCGTGACCTGCCCCAGCATGTAGTTGTAGGCCCTCAACCTCCTGGTGCTGTCACCATCACAGATCTCCCCTTGAAGGACTTGGACCCAGAGAGCTCGAACTTGAAGCACTTTGTGGACGTAGTTCTCGACATTCCCGCCGCCGAGGTAGACCTGCCTCAGTTGAAAGCCGTCTTTCGTGACCAGGCATGGCACGACTTGCCTGGATTTATGCAGATGAAGCAACGGCCGACCTTTGAATACAAGACGCAGTTCTTCCTGATGCCACAATCAGACGAGAATTTTTGCCTTTTGAAGCATGTCTACGTCCTCTCCGACAAAGTCAAAGGCTCCTCCATTGCTTTGTTGCTTCAAGGCACAGGCTACGAGATCCAATGGGGAACCTCCAACAAGAAGCTAGTTCATAAGGCCTTTCAATGGATGCTTGAACAGCTGGGAGGGTCGCAGTTTCTGCAGTACTCATCGACTCTTGAACGCAAACCATCAAAGTCATCGGCTCCTGAACCAGAAGAAGCCGGTTGGAATTTCATCGTGGAGCATGGCGAGCTTGACAAGAGCAATTTGAGGCAGCTCCGCTGGATCTACTCCCAGATCAATGACCCTGACTCCCCCATTTGCGAATGGTCCGAGAAGCTGGTGCAGAAAGCGCTCGATAGCTTACAGAATGACACTTGCGTAGCCAAGCTTTGCACCAGGTATGACCTGACCATGAGAGATGTAGAACCAGAGATTCGGGACGTCCTCGAGGTCCTTGTTCCACACTTGCGCAACCATGCTCTATGGCTCTTTGGAGAGCCAGGCAAAGGGAAGACTCCATTAGGCCGCATCGTAGCCATGCTCTTCTCTAGGTTCCATGGTGGAGAAGGCTTGTACCGGTCTACGTGTGATTTGGACTTCTTTCGTGGCATCCAATTCAGTAAATGCATCCCAGCTTTGTATGATGATGGAGACATTGGAGGTGAATCTGTGAAGAAGAAGAAGGCTTTTTGTGATGTGGCCGATGATGAGACAATGACCCGTGAAAGATGGACAAATGGAAAATTTGTCCGCAATCAACTCCGCATTGTGCTGGACAATGCCTACAACCCTGAAGCAGAACGTGCGGATGATCATACTGATGCGGCTCTCACCATCAAGCATGAGGACTTCTACAAGATGATCCGCCCAGCCTTGGGGAACATTGCTGTGACAGATGGCATGGCTATCCTCAAACGCAGTGCCTTCATCGTCTTCTCCAAAAGCTTCGTGTACTTCCGCCTGCCTTCACAGGAGCCCATCGATGTGCAGAGGATTCCCTGGAAGAAGCTTGACATTCTCTTAGACTCCTCAAAGCCCACGCTCAAGAATTTCCTGGAGGGTGGTGCTCCTCCTGGAAACTATGATTCTGAAACCCAGTGGGAGCAAGCAGCTTGTCTGACTTTCTGGTTTCATAGGTGCTGTTTGCAAACCCATTCGAGACCATGCTGACAAACAAAATGTTTAGGTATGTTTGAACTTATGGTCCGCAAATTGCACCCTCTGCAACTTAAAAACATTTCCATCGCATCCAAACAGTTTGTTTTATTGGTTCCTTCTCTTGCTTGTCGTCAGGCATGGTTGCACGAAGCTATCCGGAAGGCTAACATCAAGACTTCGGCTAAGGCATGGACACAAGCCCGTGCTGCCAAGGAAGCTGCCATGCAGTGTATGCCCCCTGTGAAGAAGGAGCCAGCTCGAGAATGCCGCAGGGACCCTGTGGATGTCGATACTGTCATGGCTGGACCAATTGGAATGTCAAGAAAGAGCCCGTGAACAAGTTCTTGCATTTGAAGGCCATCTCTGAGGAAATCATTGACTTGGATTCTCCTTCTCCTTGTGGACGCAAACGCAAAGCCACTTGCATCGATGACCAGCTTCCATCCGTTCCTACACGTCCTACTCCCAACCCTGGCAATCATGCGCTCGGTTTGCCTGACGATGTGGAGCCTGACTCTTTGGAAGCTGCCTTGTCGCACCAGATGAACGTTTGGATGGACCAGGATGACATGGAACATGTGGGTTTCCCTGCAATTGGCGAAGCGCCTGACCAAGATGATGATTTGTGAGTGTCATGCTCTACTTTGGCTGGGAGCAAGTCTGAGGGTATGAGTTATTAACGGCTGAAGATTGCGCGCGAGATGCGAGAAAATTACGCTTAGCATTTGCATCTGTTTCATGTCATTTCCGCCTAGATTGCATATCGCTTTGTCTGTTCTTGTCATTCATCAGCATGATAAGCAACATTCTTGTGGTTTTCCTTCTTGTAGCCATTTGTTATCCCTGGTCTGCGGCAGTTAGTAAGATCGCATTAGCTGCATTAGCTGCTTTGTTGGCAACTAAGCATGCCAAAGCTTCCGATGAAATATCGGAACCCATGGCCCGTACCCAAACGAGGTAAGGCTCGGTCCAACATGAAAAGGCCTGCCGCGGCTGCTTCCTCACCTATGAAGTCCAAGCCGATCCCATATGTCCGCTTTGGGGGTGTGAAAAAGAATTTTCACAAGGACAGGGTCAAGTTTGGAGTTTCAGTGCACAGCCTCATTGCCATGACCCCGCGCCAACTCATTCGCAAGTTGACAAAAGATGGTCTTCTGCCTTCTTGGCAAGGCTCAACATGTCCTCACTGTGGCGGAGGAAGTTTGGGTAAGTTGCACTTCTTCAAGGACAAACAAGTGTGGGTTCACCGATGCACTAAGAAACGCTGCATGAAGCGTGTCCAACCCCATGACTTCCATGCCATCTTCTACCATGGCTCGGGCAACAGCTACACTCCTCTTGGTCATCAAGTTGCTACTTTGCGCTGTGCTTTGGCCGGTGTGCCGATAACTTCAGTTCCAACGATTTTGGACATGGACCACAAATCCGTCAACCATATCTACCAGAACTTGGAATGTGTTCGGGCTCGGCATGTGCAGATGAAGCAGAAGACCATCGACTATGGCGCCCTACACAAGTGGAATGATGTCGAGGCGGATGAGGTCGATTTGGGGAAGGAACTTCTTGAGGACAAGAAGACTGTGAAGTGGGAGCAATGGGGAGGGATCGTTGAGAGAGGGCAACCACACACCTTGGCTTTGTTTCGCTTGCATCCAAAGATGACAAAGGCCAGAGCACCTGGCCCTGGTCCGATCCAAAAGAGTGATTGGACACCCATTGCTACGAGATTTTTGAAGAACAAGCAAGTGATTCTACACACAGATGGTGCCCGCACATACAAACTTCATGTGCCAGGTGTGTTGCGTGACAACGTTGTGCACAAGAAAAAGAGGGTTCTCGTCCAGGGCAAGTACACTTGGGTCAAGCCTCACTACACCAAAGTCACATCCCATACTTTGTGCCGAATGGTCGACAGGTGAAGACAAAGGCTGGCACTCAGATCATTGGTCGCTTTTGGGGCCACTTGCGGACCTACATGAAGAACACTCCGAGGAAAGTTGGCTCCAGCACTTTGGCGCGCAAGGTTCGTGCGGCACAATGGACCTTTTGGCATCGCACGCACAATTTATGGAGTGCAACTGCGAATATGCTGAGGGATCTCCAGGATATTGCATAGGCATGCCATGGACACCTAGTGTCAGCCTCATTGCCAGCGTGTGAAAAAAGTGCATCTGTGTGCCTGCAAATACTTGTGGCTTTGCATATTGAAATCCCAAGGTCTATGTCCTCCTGTCAAGCAAGTATCTGTAATGGACATTCATGTTTCCTGCCATGGCTCTTCAATGTTCACAAAGGAAACGCTACTGGCAATCATGATCTCTCCTGCATTCACAAAAGCATGCTTCTGAACTTGTTGTCTGCCACTTTGTCTGTGTCTGGCAACAAGCATTTATCAAGCAATTGTCTGTGATGCAGTGATGCACATCAATGTTTCCTGGTATGCTTCTGCAGTGCATCCTGTCCTGTCCTGCATTCACCAAAGCCTGTTTCTGAACTGTATAGATGGCACTCTCTTTGGCAGAAGAGGTTGTAAGATACTGTAACCTTTTTTTGAAAACACAACATCTTGAGTTGGAATCCTTCGCACAGGTTTGCTTTTTTGGCTGAAAAGGTTGGTTCTGGGGGGGGGGCGTGAGCATATATATATGTATATATATATGTGGATTCTAAGGGGAAAGAGTTGCAGGCTGTTGGCAATGTAATCACAGGCTTGTTGTCAACTTTTGTCCTGATTGTGTATATATATATATATACATTTTCATATAGAGAGGGGAAATCCGTGTCTTTTTGCACATGTTGCTTGCGTCGCCTTTGTTTCCATGCCCAGAACCAATGTACCCTTCTGATCAATCGAGGGGGAACATGACCCCCCTTTGAGACGTTCATGTTTCCTGAGAAGGTCTATGTCGCCTGATTCCTGAGCAGAATCAAGAGTTCTCAATCAAATGGACTCAGGACATTCCACAATTGAAGTGCACGGTTTGTTTGTGAACCCATGACCCATCGATCTGCACTCTCGTTTTGTTGAATAGGATTCCGGCCCTCCCAGAAATGGATTTCCATTGTTCGCTCCTGGATTCCCTGTGGCCAACTTTGCCCTGTTGGGATCCCCATTCGGTGCCAAGTTCACCACGGGGCGACGCGCTCGGGCGACTGAGGTGGGAGCTGAGGCCAGTGGACAACGAGGTGAACCACACCGCTGGGCCGCCACCCCTGGATGTGCCTGCATGACCGGCGCGACCGGCCACGTAGGCCGCGCGACGCGCGTCGGTGGTTCGGTCAGTGGGGTCTTGCGGAAGTGATGAAAACACGGAATGGGCAAAGCTTGAGGTCAGTGGCCATTTTGCATCAGCTTGGCCAGCTTCACGAGAATTGGGACTTCCACTCACTCCACTCACTCCACTCACCTCACCTCACCTCACCTCAC